CATCCCCATAGGATATTTCTCTTTATTTCCTATAAGTTGGTAGTTAGACGTAGAGTAGTTCTATATAATAGAAATATAATGTAATCCATATAATATAATTTTATATTTCCTAGTAGCCACATTAAAAAAAATAGATGAAATTAATTTAAATAATATACTTTGCTTAACGCAGTATATCAAAACTTATCATTTCAGTATGTAATCAATGTAAAAAGTTATTAGTGTGGTTGTTTACTTTTTTTTCAAACTTTGTCCTTGAAATCCAGTGTGTATGTCATCTTTGTTATAGCACATCTCAAACCACATTTCAAATGTGTGTCAGCCCGTGCGGCTAGTGCATACCATATTAGATAGCTCACGCATAGATACTTGATCAGAGTCAGGTTCAGTTCCTTTTGTTTCCTTTCTTTTCTTTTTTTCCACTCAAGACTTCTTCGTGGTAGCATTGTCTTCTTTCATCAGGAAACACAAAGGTGTGGTTGACACTATTTTGTTTATTTTTTAAGATATAAGTATTTTTTAAAAGGCTAATAAGAGTTAAGCCAGCGGGAAATGGGAGTAAGGTACAAGCATCTGCAGAAAGAGACTGACTCATGCTAAAGAGATAAGGACCAAAAAGGGCTGTCTGCTTAGTGTCCCCACCTTACCAGGAGACAGAATGACTACAAACAGCTCTTCCTTGGTGATACAGGACATTGCTCAGGAGTTTAGGAGAAAGCGGGACCCAGGCAGTACTGTGCTGTTTTCTTTTGAGCCAGGTTGCTTAAAGGAACCTTCTTTAAACACATCCATGCAGGTCACTGTCCACTCAGGCCTTCTCAGGGCCAGTAGAGCAATAGCAAGTAGAAGTCTTAGCAGATTTTCATGCTTCTCATCACATTTTTTGAACCTCCCTTTCACCCCATCATTTGGGTATCCATGTAATAATGTGATGGTATGTTATATAAAATCTGGCCTTGTTGCATTCTCCCTCCAGTCGTAGGGTGGGCAGGTAGAAATTCAGATTCCTTGGCCATGCTCTGGGACCTCTCTTCTATCCTTGGCATGGAGCAGTTTCAGGGTGTTGGGGTTCATCACTGAGCAGAAGAGGCTTCTTTGGTGTTGTAAAGCTCTATCATGAGTGGCGGATGACTGAATCACAAGACCCCCTGCCCGTGAGGCGTGGTTACCCCACAAGGTCAAATTCATCAGAGGTTCCTCACAGCCTACTGAGATGTCTGGACCCCTAAAGATATGAGAATATTTCTATCCTGGAGGGTTGAGAGGCAAAGGGCCATACCACACTGAGGTTCTCTCCTTTTAGTCTTGTATTTTAATACTTATCTTCTCTTTGCCTTTCTTTCTCATATGTCATTCCTGTTGTCAACCCGTGTCATCCTTTTCTCTTTCACTCACGTGCACAAATTTAGACACATTCTTACCCTTTTACATTTTTTAAAAACATACTCCAACTTTATTCTGCAACTTTCTGCTTACCATCTGCCTATGCCAAGTTTCTTAGCCTTGAACTTGGGCTCAACCTTGATATAGAACCTTCACTGTAAAGCCTGTAGTCAAGCATGTATGTGCCCAAGCTCCTCCATGTACAGTGACAATAGAACAGTGGCCATTTCCTGACTCACTAGTGACCATATAGTGAATCAGCAAGCCCCCATGGCAATTTAGATCCTAATTATCTGGTTTTTATCACTGGGGTTAGGACAAGTATGAGGATGCAAAATTCTTTGACTAATTATTTCTGAACTACCAGGTC